TTCTTCCTTTTTTCAAAAATATTCAATGACACAATCCATAACATAATAAATATTGTTGCAATGGTTTTAATATCAATGTGTATTGTAAAAACAAACAAAATATAGAAATTTAACATCATATAAAAGAATGAATAAAAATATCAATAAATGGCAATGAAACAATAATAAAAGTAAATGAAATATCAATGAAAAAGGTTTTAGAAGAAGAAAAACACAAATAAAAACAAATAAGAAACAAGGTAAATTCAATAATAATAAAGATTACACCTATAATAAATATAAATGAATAACAATAAATGATATACAAAGAATAATAAAAAGAATAACAAGTGAATGGAATAAAGGAGAATATTCAGAAATACTCAAAAAGTAAGAAGATAAAAGAAAAATATATTATGATATTCTTTAAGAAATATATTCAATAAAAAAGAAAAAGATAATTGAAAAAACTAAAGAAGAAATTAAAGAAAAAGACAAAAGACATTGAAGAAAAAGACATTAAAACAAATGAAGAAGAAATTAAAAACAAAAACACAAATAAAGAAATGAATGAAAGATGTAAAATTGCAATAATAATAAATAACAAACAAAGTACAATGATAATCAGACAAGAAATACAACAAAATAAAGAAATAGAATTTTAATTGAATTGATGTATTGTTTTGCAATTAATTGGTTGAATAAGAAATTATATAAGAAATTAAGAAATGAAGAAATAGAAAATATAATAAAAGTAACAAATATCAATGTAAATAATGAAAATGAATATATTAAATATATTAAAATATCACATAAAATAAAAGAAAATACTAAACAATACATTAAAGTGAAAATGAATGATATAATAGAATGAAGAGTAGAGTGTAATTCAATAATAAAAAACATCATATTAAAGAATAACTCTACAGAAATTGATGAAGAATATCTTAACACTCTCATCAATAAAATAAAAGAAATGAAAATAAAACAAAATATTATGGATTTAATGCAGAGAATGTGTTATATTTAATTACCTTAATTCACTATTCATTAAAAATTTTATTACTAGTTAAATAAAGTGGTAGTCATTTAGTTTAGAGGAGTTAACCATAGTAATATAAAAGTGGGATTTCAATAAATGAAAATGGCAGGTAAAGTATTATTTTGGAATTATGCAATGAAATAAAGCCAAGAATTTAATAAAAGAACCTTTTAAAGAAATTAAAACAAAAATGAAATGGTTTAAGAGTTAAATATTTAAATAACAAAACTGTTAAAATAAAAAAATATAACAAAAATTTGACTTCAGAACGATATAATTTTATGCAAGCTTTCTCACATCAGCAATTAATTGTGCAAAATCTGTATTTTCACATGCAATTTTCATAAATGGATGTTGGAGTAATTCTTCAGAATCAGCCCTATTATCAGGAATAGTTTCCAAACAACGAGCAACGAATCCATTCATATCCCTACTCCATTTTTCTGCATTTTTCAAAGGAGGAATTCCTTTAGTTGTAATTAAGAATAAAGCACGTAATGGTGGGAATTCCATATAGGGAGGATCTCCTTCTGCCATTTCCATTACCATAATTCCTAATGACCAAATATCAATTTTTACACCATAGTCATGACCACGAATTAATTCGGGTGCCATCCAATAAGGAGTACCAACTACTGTATTTCTATTTTTTTGTTTTTGATTTAATTGAGCTGCATAACCAAAATCAGCCAGTTTAACATGTCCATCATTAGTAAGTAACATATTATCTGATTTAATATCTCTATGAATACAATGTAGTCCATGAATGAAATTTAATGCTCTTAATGTTTCACGACAGACATAAGCAATTTGTGGTTCAGTCATTTCAATAATATCATGGTTTTCTAATATATCAGTGAGACATCCTCCATCCATATATTCCATTGACATCCACATAAGTTTTTTAGCTGGTAAATAGAATGCCTCATAGAATGTAACAACGTTATCATGTTTACATCCTTTCATTAAACTAATTTCAGTTGCAATTAATTTTTCATTATCATTGTTTACTTCCATTTGTTTCAAAGCAACAACAATTCCATCAGCTTTTCTTTTTGCAGAAAAAACTTCTCCTGAAGCACCTTCTCCAATTTTTTCAAAATCAGAATAAAACTCTCTTGGATCTTGTTCAATTGTAACATCTTTTAATTGAACTTTTTCAACATCTTCTGGTAATGGCTCTACAACAGCCTTAGATTGTTTAGGTTGAGAAATAGGAGCAGGAACAGAAGGAAGATTAGTTTTATCTCCTTGTCGTTGAATTTGGAAATTTAATACATCATCAACAACATCTTTATTCTTTTTATATTCATCAGTAGTAATACCTCCTTCATTAAGGAATCTTTCCCATTCAGGTGGAAGTCCAATATATCCAAGATTAGGGTCAAAATCTACATGTACTACTTGTGTCATTCCAGATGGTCTAGTAAGACCAGCATCAATAGTATTATTAATAGCAGTAACCCATCTTTCTGCTTGATCTTTACATGGGGCATTAAAAATAAATTGTTTTCCTAATTTCTTTGAGTCTAATTTTAAATAACTATCTCCCATTGAAGCAACTAAAGAAACAACAGTTCTTTGAAGTGGGATTGTTAATATGGGAGTATTCTTAGTTGGACTATCAAACACATATACATCAGTCTTTGTCAAACGTACCCATTTACGTTTCCATGACTTCATGATTCCAGATTGTTTCGAGAGATATCCCTCAAACACTGGATTATTCCAGTTCTAAAAAGTGAACAATTTTCTTTTTTATTTTTACAATAACCTCACAAAAGTAATACTCCTTAAAATATTAGTATAAAGTAAAAAACATACCGTTGACATTATCTGAATTTAAAAGTTCTTAGTTTTTTCATCCCCTCCTTTTTTTTATTTCATTGGTTTTGTTAAAAAAATAATAAAAATTTTCGTTTCAAGTTCAACTTTTAATTTTTATACCATTTTTACTCTTTTATTTTTATTTTATTTCTTGTTTCCACGTCTTCATCTATTTAATTCATAGATATATATTTATGTGTCAGTTATTCTTTTTTGACTTTTTATTTTTATTTTTTTCTTTTAAGATTATATCTTTTTCCATTTCAATTCCTTAAAATATTACTATTTATATAATATTTTCCTATCACAAGTCATCATCAAAATAGCTTGAATAACAATAAAAATAGAAGTAGAAATAAATATTTAAATAATAACATATTTAATTAATAATCTCACAACATTAAAAAAAAAGAATTAAATCTAAATCTTTTTTAATACTTTTTCTTTTTTTTGTCTTTTCTTCTAATAACGTTTTTTTTTGTTTTTAGTTTAACACCAACTAATAAATCCTTGAAATAATATTAATTTCATAACTAAATTTTATTGCATCTAGAAAATGCTTCCATTGTTTTTGAAAAGATTTCAAAGTAATAAACTTTAACTTTCATTTCATCAACAACTTTTTGAACTTCTTCATAGGTAATAACAGAAATACAATCTAAATAAATACTAAAAAAACACTATTTTTATAAATTTCAATAAAATAGTCTAAATGTTTAAATAAGTTAATAGATAGCTATTTGTTAGTTAAAGAAAAATAAGTTATAATATTGTTTGAGTCTTACAAAACTTTTATTTTGAATTGATTGCCAAACATTTACCAAAAAAATATACTCGAAATATATTCATTTATAATTGTAGGTAAACTAATAACATAATTCGAAAATGAATATTTTTCCTTATAATAATAACTATCACAAACCCTTTCTATTAAATGGGGGTTTTCTCATATCTTCATCTACCATAACACAAACTTTGTAAATTGGATTATTATTATCCACAATTTTTAGTTTATTTGTTATTAGTGTTTGATTTTTCAGATGTTATTAAAGAAATTCTCCTCAAAATCTTTTCTTATTTATTTCCATTTTAAACAAATAAATACTTAACCATTTTTATTTAATTATAATTGACATGTTTCCAATTGTATGTTAATTGTTTATTTATTTTTATTACAACTGACTTTTATCTAAAAAACGTTTTCTTAAATTATTAGTTTTATATATTAATTTTTTCTGTATCTTAAACATTTCTCTATTTGACAAATTTGTTTTGTTTGTTCTATTCTGTAAATGTTCTTAATTTGTTATTATCACCAATTTTTGTTCACAAAAATACGTCAAAATATTGACTCATAAAACCCTTAAAAATTTTCAAAGAATTTATAAAATTTATAAATTAATGAACAAACCTTACGCAATCATTTTTACAGGTGGTCATTATGATGACCACCCTGACTCAATTCAATTTTATCAATCACTCATAGACTTAAGCTCATTTTTTATTTGTGCAGATAGTGGTGCTGATCATGCATCAGAATTTAAAAGAACACCACTTTTTATAGTTGGAGATATGGACAGTGTTAATCAAGAAACAATAAAGCAATTTAAACATGTAAAACAAATTCAATTTAGATGTGACAAAGATTATACAGACACAGAAATTGCTATTGGTAAATGTATTGATGAAGGATATAAAAATATTGTGTTATGTGGTGGAATAGGAACAAGGTTTGACCATTCTTTATCAAATGTGCTTTCATTAGTTCGTTTGAAAAATGAAGGAGTTGAAGCAAAAATTATAAATTATTATGAAGAAATATTTGTTGCCAAACCCCATACTGAGATAGAAGGAAAACAAGGTTGGACAATTAGTTTTATTCCATTAACACTATCTGTAACAAATGTAACAATTTCTGGATGTCAATATCCATTATCTTCATACACTTTACAACTTGGTTATTCGTTAACAATATCAAATATAATAATTTCTCCAAAAGCAGTTTTTACATTTGATGAAGGTGAGGTTGTTGTTGTACTTACTCGACCCAATGGACTTGTTTAAAGTATAATTCTAATAAATTTAAAAGGTTCAATTTTAAAAGTTTAATTTTGTTATAATCAAAAATAAGAAAAAAGATCTGTTAATTTCTATGACCAAACAGGTTACAAGAAAACAGTTTAGTAGTGCTTTAAAAGCAACACAACGATTAGGGCGTAGTGCAGCAGAAAAAGCAAGTTCTATATCGAATGATCTTGTTCCACCTTCAAGTCAGAAACTTATATCAAAAAATAAGGTTGTTATTCCAATAAAAAGAAAAAGTTTTAAAGTTGAAGGAAAAGAAAATCAAGAACATCAAACAACTTCCTCTCAAGGGATTTGTGAAGAAAAGAAAATGGAAGAAGAAAGTGCATTTATTGTTGAACCTGAAAATGATTTATCAGAAAGTTATATAAATGAAATATTAACTCAAAACATTGAAGTTGAAGAAAAGAAACAAAGTAATGACGAAGAACAAACAATAATCAATGAAGAATTATTAAAATGTGATAGTACTCAAAACAATCAAACAGAAGAACAAATCTTTAAAGTTCCTACAATTGAGAAAAGTATTATAGAAAGAGAAAAATTAACTTTAAAAGATATACACCCAGAAGTAAAAACTGATGAACTATTTTTTAAAGATAATATCATGGAAGAAGAAGTTACAGAATCAAAAATTAATCAAATACTTGATATTTGTTGTAAAAGATATCATTCTGGAGTAAGTTCTATTCATTGTATTGATATATTGGATAGGATTAAACTTTCATTATCAATTGATCCAACAAACCAAACAATAAAAAGATTAATAGAAGTTGCATATTGTCCTCAATTTAGAAATGAAGTTCTCAAAGAGGCAAGGTTTATTGATGGTTTTAATAAATTAATAAAATCAGAAGAGAACAATTTAAAGAAAAATGATATTGAATTATGTTGTGAAGGAAAGACATGTGGAGGGAGTTTAATTGGTATTTTATTTGAAATGTTAAAAGATGATAGTAAAAAGAATTATGTAATAGAAATGTTTGAAGGAATATTTGCTTCATATCCAGTTGTATTATCACAAATATATCAATTTATTGTTTTTCAAAGAAGTAATGGATTAAGTGATAAAAGTGTTATTAAAATATTAGAATCAAAAACAATGTGGGGATTTGATTGTAGTCCAATAAATAATGAAATAGAAAGGATTATCTGTTCTTTTTGTAACAAGAAAGAAAATGATGAAGATTTTGATTTTATGTTAAATGGTGTCTATGACATTATTATTTCTGAGAGTATTGAATATGTTAATCAAAATGTGTTATATCAATTAATTGAAGCATTGCTTAAACTTGTTAAAGATATTAACAATTTAAAAGAGTTTGTTTTATTTCTTTTAAATAGATAAATGAAAATGGATAAATTCATTTGAAATAGAATTAGACATATAATAATAGTTTCAAATATGATTGTTGAATTGTGGAAAAATAATGATTGTATATTTACAGTTGAAAATCAAAAAGACATAGTTATATTACAAGTTGAATTGAAATCTAATTATGTTAACAATGAATCTATAGATGAAGTTATTGATAGAATAGAAGAAATAATGAGAGATTTTAGAAGAGATATTTGATTGAATGTTTTTTTATTTAAGACTTCAAATTTATATTTTACTATTTAAAAAATAACATAAAATAAACTAATAAAATTCATTTTTTATTTCTTTTAATGGAACAATTTGTTGATAACGTTGCATTACAAATAGTTTCATGTAAAAGTTTTACTATATTATCACATGGATATTTATTACCAGAAATATCATTAAGTGCAGTACATAAAGATATGAAACTATACTTATCACATAACAAAAGTATTCCAGCTATTTTTCTTATTAATGCACCTCCTCATATTTTTCATCATTTTAAATTATATTCTGAAGGTCTAACATTTGATAGTTCAACAATAAAAGAAATAAAAAAAAGAAAATCAGAACAAACATTACTTAATTTTATTCGGTCAATAGACTATAGTGGAGTTGATTCATCTTCAATTTCTCAGAGTTGTGTATCAGAATTAAATCAATCAAGTATTGCTTCTTCAAATGAAGATATTTATATTCCATTATTATCTATTGATTATAAACTAAGCATTGAAAAAAGAAAAGAGTTATATAAAAATGGAGGAATATTTTTTGTTACAACTCGTATCCTTATTTCTGATCTTATATCAAATGAATTCAATTGGAATAATTGTATTTTTTATATATTTGATATTGAAGATATTCAAAAAAGATTTAATATTTCTTTTATAGGACAAGTCTTTTTAACATTAACAAAAAATAAAGGGCTTTTACGTTGTTTAACACAAAAAACACATCAATTAGTTGTTATTCCTAAAATTTATGAAAGAATAAAAGAAATATTTAGAATAGATAAAGTATTCTTCTTCTCTTATACATTTCCTGAATTAATTAAAATAAGAAATGAATTTAAATATTTTAATGTAGTTCAACTTAAATTACAAATGTCAGAATCAATGAAAATCATTGAACAAGGAATTTTTGAATCAATGAAATATATTGCAATAGAAATACGTCATCGTTTAAAAATACAACCAAATGTATTACCTGATTCAATGTTATTATTTGGGGAATTTGAAAAAAGAATTAATAATTATAATAAAGGTATAGATTATGACTCTGATATCGAGTTAATGTGTATTGATATTAAAACACTTCGTCATTTAATGTTTTCATTATATATTCTAAATCCTGTTTTATTTTTTATTCAATTAGAAACGATGAAATTACTTGTTTGGGGAGAAGATTCAATGTTTTGGTTAGGAAAGAAAACAATGGAACTTGTAATTGAAACAACAAAAGCAAGACTTTGGAATAAAGATAAGTTTTTAATAGAAAAACAACCAAAACATATTGAAATGATGAACATTATTAAACATGAAAATCAAAAAGGAAATGATGTTGTTATTATTGTAAGAAATCAACAAACCAAACAAGAACTAATTCATTCATGGAATGTTGATGATGGAACACTTTTAGATATTTATCAACAATGGTTTGATAAAAAAAATGAATTAGAAAAACATATTAAAGAAGTTCATTTAAAGTATAGGACTGATGCTAATTCAAAAATAAAAAAATGGAAATTTGTACAATCAGAAGGAATTAATTTAAATCAAAAAAATGAAGGAGATAATGGAGAAGTGATAGGTATAGATGATAAAGATGATGTTAAACCAGAAGATGAAATTATTTTTGGATATAATAGTGTTATGTATGAAATGTCACAAAGATTTTATTTAACACAACAAATGGTTATAGAAGAAACACAACAAAAATTAAGTCAAATGAAAAAGAAAAATGAACAATTTAATTGTAGAGAATATAAAGGAAGAATTAATAAAATTATAACACAAAATGAAATGAATAATGAACTGTTTTGGGATAAACCTAAAGCCATTATTTTATATAATTGTTCATTATGGGTTACAAGAGTATTAGAAACTTATGTTCATTCTAGAGATGAAGAAATTAAATTATATTTACTATTTTATGAAAAATCATATGAAATGATAAAATATCAACAAACGATTTTAAGAGAGAAAAATGCTTTTGAACAATTAGTTAAAACTGAAATGAAAAGTAAAGAATTAAATATTGATCAAAAAGAAATAGAAATTATTCCTATTCAAGATAGAGTTAAAACAATTATAGTTGATATCAGAGAATTTAGATGTGAATTACCTTTTCATTTATTTAATCAAAATTATAAATTAATACCAAAACAATTAGAAATTGGTGATTATATTTTATCTCCAAATATTTGTATTGAAAGAAAATCTGCTATAGACCTTGCTGGTTCTTTAAAATCAAGAAGAATTAATAAACAAATTCAAAATATGTTTAGAAAATATAATACTGTTGTATTACTTATTGAATGTTATTCTTCTGAAGGATTTGAACAATATGATAGTTCAAAAACTGAACAAGTATTAAAGTCTTATACAAATATATTCACACAACTAATTACTGAATTTCCACAATTAAAAATTGTTTGGTCATATTCTCCTCAAATGACAACTCATATTTTTAATGATTTAAAACAAAATGACTCGGAACCAACTGAAGAAGATTGTAAAATGATTGAAAATGATGATGATTTAACTAATTGGAATGCTCTTGAAGTACTGAAACGAATGCCTGGAATTACTACTGACCAACTTTATGACATTGAACATAATCCTAATCTTACATTTTCAAAACTTATACAAATGAGTGAAGAACAATTAAAAGATATACTCAAAGAAGATAAGAATGTTAAACTCTTCCATCATGCTTGTAACCTTCAATTTAAATAAACTTTTTTTTTTAAATTTGAATTTAAAATAGATTATAAACTTCCAATGAATAAATTAATTTTGAAAAATAAACTTTCATTATTTATTATAAATCTTAACAATAGATACTTCTTTTATTGGTATGGTATAAAAAGAAAAAATAAATAACATGTATTGATTAATTTCTTTTTTAACTCTTTAAATGTTACTAAATAAATAATAATCAATACCTTTTTTCTTTTGTTTCTTCATTTAAATAAAAATTAAATCAAAAAGCACTTTGCTTATTGTTTGTTAGCTGGAATAACTTCAGTCTTAACAGTTGTTGATTCGTCCTTTGGTGTCTTAATTTCAACAACATCAGGAATTCTAGCAGCTGGTCCATTCTTTCCAGATGGATCAGTATCTAACATAATGGTGACTTTAATACCAATAATACCCATACGAAGGAGGACACATCTAACAGCAGATGAGTAGAATTGTCTAGTAGCATTACCAGATTTGATCATATATCCTTCCTTGAAGACCATTCCTTGAGCTCTTTGTCCTCTTAATTTACCAGAAATAGAAACTTCACATCCTTTAGCTCCTGAATCCATAATAAGTCTCATGACTGATCCAACAGCTCTTCTGACTGGGAGACCTTCAGCAATCTTATATTTAATAGATTCAGCTTGAGAAACTGGGCAAAGTCCTCTAGCAAGAACTTTTTCAACATAAAGTTCAATCTTGTCTTTTGGGAATCCAAATCTAGCAATAAGGAGATTAGTTAATTCATGAATTCTTCTTCCTTTATCTCCAATAATGTTAGTGGTTCTTGTGGCTCTAATAATAATTTGGAATTTAGATCCATTCTTTCTAACTTCGACACCTGAATATCCATCAGCTGAAAGTTCTCTTTGAAGGAGTTCATTAAGTTCAGCATAGAAAACTCCATCAGCAACAAACTTATGTTTTCTTGAAATGTTAGTCTTGAGAACATCAACGTTGAGGGCTTTGGTCTTAGTGAGGCAGAACATCAGTGTCACTTTAGATTTTTTTTTCTTTGTTGAAATACCCTACAACAGGGTTAATAATTTAGAATTTAATTTAATAAATTAATATTGAACATTTAATTTAATTAATTCTAATTAATGATAAACAAAATAGTATAAATGAAAAAATAACAAAAATAAATAAAAAAATGTAATAGATACATTAAAAATTGATATTTAAAAAACCATTTAAATACAAAATACGAGAAACTGGAGGTTTATATAAAGATTATAAAACAAACATTACAAGTTTTTAAATAAATTTTGAAGAAAAATTAAAAAATAAGAAGAATTAAAGAGAGGAAATGAAACTATTTTAAATTAAAAAAGAAAAAATTTAAAAAATAGATAAACTTAATAAACAACATGGAATCCCCACTTCTTAAAAGTGTTTTATCTCTTCTTGAAGAAGATGAAGATAATGAAAAAAATGTAGAATCTTTAAAGAGTCTTATTTATGATACATATGACCCAATAACAGTACAACCACCAAAAGAAATGATGGAAAATATGGAAAGACCAAATTCAGTTCCTTTAAATAATGCAGTTTATAATGTTTGTTTAAATAAATGAATATTAATTTAAATAATACATAATACTTATTCATGAATTTAGGCACCACCTTTTATTCCAAGAAGAAAAATTTCAAGTAAAACTACTTCTGCTAATTGTATTTCACCAAGCTTTTATCAAATGAGTTCAAGAGTTAAACAACTTGTTTCTAGTCCACCTACATATAAAAAATCTAATAGTACTTCAATTAATTCTCATATAAAAATTCAACAAACTAATAATTATACAGTTACTGACTTATGTAAAGATCAACAAGGAAGTAGAAGAATCCAAACATTTTTAACTACTGCAAAAGATTTTGAAATTACAGAATTATTTGATAGTATTAAAGGAGATTTATATGAATTGATGAATGATTTATTTGGTAATTATGTTGTTCAAAAATTCATTGAATTAGGAAATGATAAATTACGTCAATTTGTTCATTCCATTATTAGAGGAAAGGTTGTAGAATTATCTAAACATATATATGGATGTAGAGTTATTCAAAAGATTATTGAATATAGTAATACAAATGAAAATGAACGTATTTTCAATGAAATTGAAAAGAGTATTATTGAATTAATTGAAGACCAAAATGGCAATCATGTTATTCAAAAAATTATAGAAAATTATTGGGGGTGTATAGAAAAAATTCTTTCTGCTCTTCAAGGACAAATTGAAAAATATTCAGGACATGGATTTGGATGCAGAGTTGTGCAAAGAATTATTGAAAAAAGAGATAATAATTTTAATTATCAAATTTTTCAAGAATTACAAGGGAATATTATTGTACTTTCATTGAACCAATTTGGTAATTATGTTATTCAACATTTATTAGAATTTGGTAATGATACAATTAGAGAAGCAATTATTAATGAAGTTGAAAATGTTTTCTTTGAAAGCTCATTATTAAAATTTTCTTCTAATGTAATGGAAAAGTGTGTTCAATTTGGACCTTCTAATAAGCAACAACTTCTCATTAAGAAGTTGTTTGATTGTGATGATGATAAGATTTATAAAATGATGAAAGATCCTTTTGCTAACTATGTTCTTCAAAGAATGTTTACTATGATGAATAATGACCAACGTTTACAATTCTATACTTCCTATGTTCAAAGAAATATTAATTCTTTAAGAAAGAACATTTATGCCAAACATTTATTAAATTCATTAGATGAATCAATGAAATAAATCATTAGAAACTTTGAATTCATTGAACAAAGATTAAGTTTTTATAGTTACACATAAATGATGCTTTTATTATTAAGTTTAATCTTTCATTTTGTTTTATAATTTTTTAAATCTTTAAAAAAAAAGAAAAATAAATAAAAGAAATAATTCATTCAACTTAATTTTTAAGTAATTCAGTAATTTCTCTTTCAAAATACTTTTTTACATTATTTCTTTTAATTTTTAATGAAGGTGTAATTAAATCTCGTTCAATATCAAAAGAATATGGATGAAGAATAATACGTTTAACTTTTTCATATCCCATAAGTCCATGTTCACTTGCTACTTTATTTAAATCATTTAATATTATTTCAATAATTTTTGGGTTTTTACATAGTTCTTCATCTGTTTTATTTTCTAATGGTGTTCCAATAATTTCTTTTCTTAAGAATATAAATTGAGGAACAATAATACCATATAAATAATTTAAAGTTGATTTACCATCAACAAAAATATCCTTAACATAGTTAGATTCTTGAAGTATATTTTCTATTTTCTCTGTTGAAATATATTCTCCTTGTGATAGTTTAAAAATATTGTTTGCTCGTGCAATAATTTCAAAATCATGATCTTTACGATACTTAACAATATCATTTGTTTTAATCCATCCATCTTTTATATGTTCATTATTATATTCTTCACTTTCTTTATAATATCCCTTAAACCCAGCAGTTGTTTTAAGATATATTTCTCCACAACATTCTTCATTTTGAGTACAAAATCCCATTTCCGGAACACATTCTATTTTTGCCATAACAGTTGGGTATGGTCTGCCAGCTACATCAAGATGAATTCCATTTGAAAATTGTGAAGCTAGTCCCATTCCTGTAGTTTCTGTTAATCCATATCCAATAAATAAAGCATCTACAATAACTATTCTAAAAAATTTAGCAATTTCTTCTGTCAAAGGAGCACCAGCACTAATAATAATTTGTAATTTACCTCCAAATTTTTCCTTGATCTGACCAAAGAAGATATTATCAAAACTTGGAGTTAAAGCAGTTGGTTCAAATTCTAATCTTTTTTCTTTTAAGTAAAAAGCACTGTTATAAATTAATTGTGTTAAACAAGATGTTTCTCTTAATCCTTCCATTACCTTACTATAAATAGTTTGAAGAACTCGTGGAACAGCAGCAAGAACTACAGGTTTCATTAATTTAATATCTTCTACAAGTGTTGGAATACCTTGAGACATTAAACCAATAACTCCACCAAGACGATATATTGTCATTTCTAAAACTATAGCAAAAACATGAGCTAATGGAAGGAAAGATATACTAGACATTGGGTCAGTTCCTCTTGGATGTAATAACAAAAGTTCCAAAGGAATTCTTTCAACTAAACTTGTTGCACATGAAATTAAATTTTCATGAGTTAAAGGAACTCCTTTGGGAAATCCAGTAGTTCCACTTGTATACATTAATAATGCATCATCTTCTGGTTTAACTTTAGTTAATAAAATGTCAGTATTTGCAAGACCTAAGTTATAGACATCAAGAAATGAAGTTAAAATACCATCTTTTGATGGTTGTTCTACTTCAAATTCATTAATAAATATAATATTTTTTAAACAACCAACTTCTTCTAAAACTTTAATTTTTTCATTTGAAGTAAAGATATATTTAAGTTCTGCATGTTCTATAATATATTTAACAGCTTCTTTACCAAGACTTTCATATAAACTACAAATTCTTGCTCCAATATAACTACATGCAATAAAAAGATAATGCCATTCAAGTCTTCTTCTAGAAAAGAATCCTAAATTATCTCCTTTTTTAATTCCCATTTTAATTAACCCACGTGCAAGAGTTTTTGAATACTCTAAAACTTCTTTATAAGAATAATATTCATACTCTCCTCTTTTTCCTCCTGAAATGTATTTTCTTTCTCCAATAAAAGGATGGTCAGGGTCATCTTCTACCCAATGTTCTACTGCGTCAATAGGGCTATGAATTAATGGATGATCTGAAATAAGTAATTTATTTCCATTTTTTTCATAGTCGTCAGGATAGACATAAATAGTATGTTTTCTATGACTTGTATCCATTATTAAAATATGTTTTCTTCTTATAACATTTATCAGTTCATTCTAGAGATGGTTTTTCAAGTGACCCAGAAACAAGTGGAAGTTTCTCTTCAAATATCCTTTTTCCTTTCTTCTTTTCAAGTCTGCAACTAAACTTTCTCTATATTTTCACACTT